ATAGTATAAAAGTTATAAAGTGTTAAAACCAGGCTATTCATTTTGAATCACTCAGTATTAAATTTATGGTTTCATACTATCAGTTTGGTTGAAAATTGGTGCTTCCAATGGCTTCCAGGACGTACGATATCAGATTTAAACTTTCACCTGTTATTGCAGTCTCCCATAGTCAAAACAAAAATTGTTTTATTTTAACATCACAAAGTATTTTTACCTATGTTAAGAACGGCATTATCATAGGCCTTAGTAATTTTAGCTGTCCACAAGATCAATGTCAAACTGACCCAACACTTTTGCAAAGTGAATGGTATTTTTATAGGATCCTAGCAATAACAATAAAAAGTTGAGTGAATCAAGTGCTGTGAGAATATAGTTGATAACCTCCATGGGAAGAGGCAGTAGAGCAGTACTATTTTAAATAACATTTGAATTTAGAATGTACTCGCAATGTCTTGCACCTCAAATGTTTCAAGCATTTTGAAGTTTAAACAAGTGATCATAATTTCTCGTCATCTAATTAGCGACACGGATGAATGGATTAACGAGATTCTATGTCACTTTTTAATACACCATCGGTACGGTATGACGGTTTTTTACACAGAAAAAGCCTTCCAGGTGTTTTCGGCAAGGTTTATAAGCATTTGGTCCTTAATCAGAAAAAAACCATTATTTCAACTATTTTAGCAATATTTTATATCCTGCCTTGCAAGATTTTTCAAAACTTATTTCAAAGGAAAACTATTGAAGAATCACAAGAAAATTTACTAACCGATTTGTGACATGAGATTAACCTATGATTCTTAAAATATTGTGTAAACTACACTTTACAACTGAAAAATTTGTGTAATAACCAGGCTTCCGACTAAATAAAAATGCATAGACATTTAAAATGGTACTGTATACTGCCTAATCCTGTTTATCCAAGCGAGTTTATGATTAGTGAAATAGTAACAACTAAATAGTCAGCACTAAACACGTGTACATCGTGTATTATACACGTAGCTACCATAGTTATGTACAATACTGTTATATAGACTTACCTATGTACATACTAGAAACTAGCCAATTAACACACTTCTGTAAAAACTGTTGATTTTTGCTTGTTTTGATTACTTTGGATTTCTGGTTCTGATATTTTAATTTTTTTAGTTTTTAAATTTGTCCAATTAATCAAAGATGCAATTTGACTATTTGTAGTTGTGGTGAAGAGGATTTACTTACAACCGCTTAGATATAATTTCCTAACTGGTTAACCCATCATGGAAACCAGATATCATTTCAAGCACTGTGATTAATTTATCTTATTAAATAAAAGCAAACTACAGTTAATTAGGTTGACACAAAAGGTGGATGTAATTTGTGTTGATTGATACAGTACACTATCAGATTGATGTATATAATTTTAGGAACCTTCCCAAAAAGCAATACTTTAATGTGAAGCAGGCATCAAATTTAATTTGTGTTTATGTAATTTCTTATTAGTACTATATTCATGCCACAGCAAAGTTAACTGTTACAGCGAGTCCCTTTACAAAGCTCGTCGTCAGCAACTGTACAAAGGTCAATTTTGTGTCAATAATTTTGAATCCTCATTTACATTATGTTTTATCCATTTATTATAATCTTAAATGATCTATCCATTAATACTTTTAAATCTCATTCTGTAGTCAAACAAAGCAATAAAGTTCCTCATAAAAAAATTAAATACCGACATTAAAGTTGTTTACTAAGCCAACCTAAGTATTTTGTAAAAAGACTATCAAACCTTAACTAAATATCAGAACCAGAAGATTGGTGTGAACATAGCCTAATAGCTAGACTGTAACTTTGGCTTCAAACTCTAGAAAAATGCAAGAGCTTTCAGTAATCCAGACGAATCCCCCAGTGTCTTACTGAAACATATTCTGTTACTATTCAAACTGTTGAATATAAATGTTAGCTAAATGAGTTATGGTTATTTAGGTATTTTAAGCGATTCAACGGTGGATAGATGTAGAAATGAAATTTGTAATTTAAAATTGAAACTATATTTTTATGTTAAACAATTATTTAGTTTTGTTTAGTAACAGTTGTTAATCAAAGCTTTAACTGAAAGTACCGTACATAACTAATTGCTTTTACTGGATGCAGATGTAACTGTTGAGTCCATACATCAAGAAACTGAATTTGTAAACAAATATAGACAAGTCTGTCTTCCAAACATGTAGATTACCGCTTTTTTACATTGACATAAAAACCAAAAAATGGGTAACAATTTTTCAGGTACCTATAGAAACTTGTGACTCGCGGTCGAAAGGACTCGCGGTAACGGTGCGATCGTCAAAATGACCGCAGTAACGGGGTGATCGTCGGTATGACTCGCGGTCACGGCATGATCGTCGGTATGACTCACGGTCACGGCGCGATCGTCGGTATGACTCCGCGGTCACGGGGTGATCGTCGGTATGACTCGCGATCACGGCATGATCGTCGGTATGACTCACGGTCACGGCGCGATCGTCGGTATGACTCCGTGGTCACGGGGTGATCGTCGGTATGACTCGCGGTCACGGCATGATCGTCGGTATGACTCACGGTCACGGGGCGATCGTCGGTATGACTCCGCGGTCACGGGGTGATCGTCGGTATGACTCCGCGGTCACGGGGTGATCGTCGGTATGACTCCGCGGTCACGGGGTGATCGTCGGTATGATTCGCGGTCACGGCATGATCGTCGGTATGACTCACGGTCACGGGGTGATCGTCGGTATGATTCCTCGGTCACGGGGTGATCGTCGGTATGACTCCGCGGTCACGGCGTGATCGTCGGTATGACTCCGCGGTCACGGCGCGATCGCCGGTATGTCTCCGCGGTCACGGCGTGATCGTCGGCATGACTCCGTGGTCACGGCACGATCGTCGTTATGACTCCGTGGTCACGGCGCAATCGTCGAAACGACTTCGTCTCCTGCGTTCGCGGACCTATCGCTCGCAATAGCTGCGTCATCGGCACTCGCGAAGCGGCAAAATCGCCGGCGATCGGAACAAATCCCGTCCCGAAAAATTCCCGAATCAAATGTAATCCCGTCCCGATAATCGGGAATATTTTTTTCCCGAAAAATTCCCGAAATTTCGGGACCCGTCCATCCCTTTTGAAACTTATGTCATTATGTTGATATTTAATTTTTGAAATCTTAAGTCAAACTAATCCTTCTTTTCAATTTTAGTCATAAAAAGTTGCATTTTCGGAAACTATTATCCATTGCTCACAAAGTTTTTATCAAAATGAATATTGTTGGAGAGGATTTTGTCTTACGCTCAAGGAAAGTAACACTTTCTTCTTTCTATAGCCTATTTGTTTTTTTAAGGCAATGTTTTAAAAATTTTTAACAATAAGATTTTTACCAAATAAAATATTACATTATTGACTAAATATGCAGGTATGAAACAAATAAGATATTTTATTAGTAGTATGTTTAAAAAAATATCCTGGTAGAAATTAATAGCTTATTTTTTTGTAGGCCTAAGTAAAAAATCTGTAAGATCTTAAAACCGCTTACAGTTGATATAATTTAAATCATGATACTTACTACAAAATTTCCTTTAAAAACAATAAGTTTTGTCTTCTTGACAGTGGTACCTATCACCTTTTATTACAATTTACAATCTAGGAGGCTATCAAGTTTTTAGGGCCTTACAGAACTAAGCATAAGCAAATCGATTCTCACCAACAATAACAATCTTTATGCGATATACAGTTACATAGTGCCAACAACCACAAGTAAAAAAACACACAATATGATGCTTCTCAAAAAATACTGTTGTATAGGCCTAATTTAAAAGGATAAATAAGACTCGCCGAAAAGCTCGATAAAGATATTCTGAAAGATCCGTCAATAAATCTTCTCCTGTTTTCCTCCCTAAAAACCTACAATTTTTAGCTTTAACGAACATAGTGAGATAAATGGTAAGATTATTGTTAGTTGTATAGATTATGGTTGTGAAAACTATTGTTGAATAAAACTGTATTAGAAAACTTTATTTGTTTATTCTCTATTTTGTATTTTCCTGAAATTGCTTTATCAACCTCTTACTTTTAAATGTATTGCATTTAGTCCGAGAGTCAAAATGTTCAATATCCTAAATCTAGTACCATAATTGCACTAAATCAAATTTTGTTCTTTCTTATAATGATAACAGTTCATGAATTGACTTTATCATAGTGTATAAAACGGTCTACTCTTGGTACCTACTGTAATTAAAACACTCTAAAAATCAAAACTTTTGATACGGTAATTAAAAAAATAAAAGCTCAGTCTGTAGAGAATCTCTTAGTATTTCAAAGTTTACCATGTGTACACTCGGTAATTTAAAGTCCAATCTGGGGTCAGGCCAATTTGAAACTCGCAGTAATTCAAAGTTTCGTCGACAAAACACTCTACCCTCCATAATTCGAAGGGGGGATTCCTACATGCCATAACAAGAGCCAAAAGCAAACAAAAATAATAGATCTTTTTATAACTAACTAAAAAATATACTGTTGGTTGTGGTAAAGTAACTAAAATTAGCTGCTTAATATTGTAACGTTCTGTACCTTACACAGTACAGTATAAAATGAACTCGTAATTTGAATAGTTTAGTTTTCTCCCGATAAATAAAACCTCTTGATAATTCAAAGTTATTGGCTTGGCCCACCAATTATGAATCATCAGGAGTCTACCGAATCACAGCCTGTAAGTCTAATCACATTGTGTTTACTGGGATTAATGCAACTTACAAAAAAGGACAGTTTAGGTTTTAGAAACAAAGCATTAAATTCGCTGTGTTTGTAAATGCCATTTGCAAAAATAGGAACTACTCCACTTAACTTAACAAAACAATGAAAATTATGACGAGTAGCAGCTACTGTTATCATGATTTAAACCTAGGTCTTAAAAGCTAACTGTTTACTAGGTCTTCTGCTTAATAGGTTAAATTATTTTCAACACTAATTTTCAGGTTTCAGGAAAAAAATGCAAACGTACCTAAGTACAAAATCAAACTTTATTTTAAAATATTTACAAGTCTGATTCCAGAACATAGTTGAAAATACTTAGATTAGGCCTGTAGGCCTAAACATTAATCTGACCAAAACAGTTTTAAAGAATTGATATCGGATTGCCTCAATTTGTACAAGAACAAAGTTATAAAAAGTAGGTTTTTTTTAATGTCTTGACACACAAGAAACGACTTAACCTATAAACAACAAAAATCTTAATGTTACATGGAAAGGAGGGTGAAATCATACCGGAGCATTGGTGGTGTTAACGTTATAAAAAGTAGGTTTTTTTTAAATGTCTTGACACACAAGAAACGACTTAACCTATAAACAACAAAAATCTTAATGTTACATGGAAAGGAGGGTGAAATGATACCGGAGCATTGGTGGTGTTAACGTCTGCCTCTTCCTCTACCTCGTCCTCCTCTGCCGCCCCTACCTCCACGACCACGACCTCTACCTCTCATTGCACCTGCAACAACAAACATCCATCATTACCAATGATGCATATATTAAATAACATATTTTATCAAACAAAATAAGGCAATTTCCATACAGAATGTGAACCGGGGGAGCAAGCTGGTCTAGTGGTTGAAACTCATGACTTCAATCCTTGAGGTCCCGGGTTCAAATCCCGCCAAATCACCAAATGGATTTTTTCTAAGTGATATTGTCGCCACCTCTAGGTCTAGCCTAAAGTAATATGAAAATGAAAAAAAAAACAATCCTGGGCTCGTGCCTAGCGTCTTGTTACAAAAAAAGAAGAAAAACTGTAATTGTGATAAATTTTTAAAAGTACGAGTACTTGGGGGATGGAAGATTTTAGACAAAGTCAAGATGCATGGAGTTAAAAATAAAGAAGGGTAAGGGGGGGGGGGGTAAAGAAGGGGTATGTAAATGTTGATGAATAAGACGTTCATGAGCTCGGGTTTATCGTAGATCGAGCCCAGAATCCGGAAATAACTGGTATTTGCACTGCAGCTTAAAAGATGGAGTTCACAAGCTTGAGACTTCATAAGCCGTGGATCAAGGTTAGACTCCACACAATTAGTGCAGGGATAAAAACTGGTTTTAAAAGTTGGCCTCACGAGTCCAATTACAGATGGTCCCGACTTTCAAGGATTAACTTGGTGGGTTCACGAGTCAAGTCCGAGCCCAAAAGAACAATGGTGTTTGAGCTTCAACTCAGACCTCGTAGGAGGCAGGTTTATGGTGACATCATGCCGGGATTATCTCATTAGTTCCTTTACTTTTATTATCTTTTAAAAACTAATGCTATACTATGGTTCCTCATAAAACTCTGAACAGAACAATTCAATTACCCACGGCATATTAAAAAAATATGTAAAAATGGTTTTAGTGCTTTAAACGTAAAAAATGCAACTAACTACTTGAAACGGCAAATAAATTATTATGCACGTAACAAAGTAGAATTGTTACAGAAATACTTTAACTGAAAAAACTCTTTTATAGCCTATCAACACTGTTACAATAATAGTTTTACTGCCATGGGAAACATCATTAGCGAACCTTCAGTCGTTAAATATGTGTCAACAAATTTTAATCCTGACGACTTTGACGTGAAGTAATCATATTAATCCTAGTACACACCTGATGATGACCTCCTAGGAGGTCAAAACTAGTTGTGGAATACAATTATTGGATTGCCAGAATCAGGTAGGTATTCAAACCATTATTATTATTACACTTTGTTATTATATTCCTTGCTCTGTTAACCCTTTCAGTGCTAGGCCAATAATTCATATTTTGTAAGACTTTTTTGTTTGCCTTTTAATTCCATTACCTGTTGTTGAATTTTTACTGTCATGTTGTCACTATTTTATTAATTAGGCTAATTTTGAATAATAACACAATAAGAAAATATATAAGAAAGATAAATCCCGCTATTTGTAGTAAACATTAAATAAAACTTTGTTTTTGTTGTAATTTTCCTGGTTTTCCTATAAATTTTTATGTTCTGATAGCATTATTTGAAACCAAAATCTCATAAAATCAAAAGACATATAGTTTACAATGTAACATTGAATTTAACCTTGATTTAGTTGGACGAGGTTATCGTAATATAGCCATTTTAGGGAAACTAATGTTTTGCAGCTAAGTCTCAGGAACACATTTATGATCACTGTTGTGTTTAAACTAAAAGATTGCATCTAAATAGTTCGTGACTAACTGGTGCTGCTACCTAGTAACGCATTGAACAACCATCTGCAGCGCCATCTGTTTGCAATCGGGGGCGACAGCTTAAATACTGGGTTTTGACTCCCCAGTCTTCAAGCACAGATAGCCGAGAAGGCTAGGGCGTGTGTCACTTGGCCAGTGGCATTCGTCTGCTCGGGTTCGAATCCCGTCCTGTGTGGCAAATAATTGGTGACCTGTGTGTTTGTAGCGATATACTACAACCACTGGGGCATAGTGAGGTGTTCATAATCCTTGGTTAAGACATACACCTCGAAATCATCGGATTGGGCGAATCTTTTAGCTAAGTGGTTGATAGTGTATCCTATGAACATGCAGGTCACCAATGGCCGTTTTGCTATTTTTTGTTAAAATAACCTTCCTCTCTATATCCCTTAGAGATTTTTTAAAACAACGATATATCGTTTCATAGCACTGAAAGGGTTAAGTGGGTTATTAAATAAAAGGTGGATTGGATAGCGTTCAACAATTTGGTTTAAGGCCCTAATTAATTATTCCAATTATTTTTTCCCCTTATTGCAAAGTAAAGCTTTTTTTAAATTTTATGCAATTATAAAGAACAATTTACAAAGACTACACATCAAATATATGTAAGTCAGTTATGTACCTAAAATCTGGCATTAACACCTAAAAAACATCTGTTTCACTAGGTTACCTCAGAAAAATGTCACCGGTGTAGACAAGAAAAACAAACAAGAGAAGGGAAACCCTCTATTCACTTAACTGGTAACTCCCTTACCTCTAGATTGGTCCTTCTTCTTTGCCCTGGCCTTGGGAGTGTCATCGACTAGAAGTGTCTCCAGTGGTAGAGCATCGGGTAGAATGTAGTAGCGGATATTGTTTCCACGAATACTCAATGAATCACACTGCACTGTTGGTCTGTTTTTCACTGTTAACTTTACAGTCTTCAGATGAGTGTTCATGGCTACATCCACTCCTGAAAAAGTTACCAAATGTTAGCTTTACAAAATACTAATTTTATATTCCTAAAACTAAGTTATAGAAGAAATTTTCCCTAAGATAGAGGACTCGCTTCTTTTTAAATTTACCAGTTAATAGATCATGATTTGCAATGTATGATACCATTGTTATTAAATTGGCTTTATCAGAAAAATAAAACAGAGATTTTCAAACTTTCAGGGGAATTAAGCTAAGTAACTTAACATTAGTTAAAAAAAGTTATAAAAGGGTCATAAACTTAAGTATTGAATTGAAAGGAAGTAAGTTATTGTCGGGACCACGTAAGTTTGCAGTTGGTGGCAGCCAATCACAAGACAAGGCAAGTGTGACGTTGCCACATCGCCCATTGACAACACTAATTAAAATATACTAAGCAATGTATTAAAATCAGCTGGTATTAACAGATTTGGCAACACCACACGGTTCTCATTGGTTCATTCAAAACCATATGGTAAATAGGCTCCTCCCTCAACTGCAAACTTACGTGGTCCCGACAATAATTTAGTTCAGTTGTAATTTCTGGGTCTGCATTTTTCTACCCTAACCTTCTACATGAAGGAGGTTATTAAAATACTTTGTCAGTATAGTTTTTGTCATCCTCCCTGTTTCTAGATCCTAATTGGTTTACCCTATTAGTTACAGTTAAGCCTAGCTCTAAACTGCATCTGGGCCCTGTTGTATGATAGGATAGCTTAGCTATTCCAGGTTTAAAGCCAAAACTCAAACCCTCTTCTTGAAATGCTTGTAATGACCAAGGTAACACATAACTAATGACAATCCTTAAGTTATCCAAATCTGTCGCATTTACAACAAATATTAAACAAAAAACTTGGTAAAATTTTTAACAATCCGTGACTACTATAATTTTGATAATCATATGCGTATACCCTACAATAATTTATTAGGCCAATTTATCTTGCCATTTATAGGCCCATGGCTAGGATTTATTGGGCCTATGACAATACATCTAACTAGTACCTAGGTATAGAGTTACAGGTGGGGTATGCTATAAATCAAAGTTTTACGTTGGGTTAACTTTATACTAGTACCTAATACTAGCAAATTATACCTGTAATGGTGCCAAAGACTTGTGTTCCGTTCTTCAACTCTATCGTGACAGTTTCATGGCTCAGTTTCATTAAAAATCTGCAATAATAAATGGTTATGGTTAAACAAAAATTTGGACTAGACATAGGGTCAATCAAAAAACTTTACTAAAGAATTAAATGTTACAGGGACATGTACCCTTTAACGAATTTCTCATATAGGGAATAGCTATTACCATAACGTAGGTCTCATGGTAAGACCTAGACACGGGATCCATTTACTTTTTCGTTTAGAGGTCCCCAGAGGTCAAAAACACCCTCCGTTAAAAATATACATGGAGCAAAAATGATCCGATTTTGATGAAATTTGGTACAAACGTGTAAACGTACGTTTATTCAAATGACTTCGCAAACCAGCATGATTGGACTATGGGAACGGGGGTTTATGGGGGGCTTAAGCCTGGTTTAAACGGGTAGAGTTGTGGAGTAGGCTAACTCTAGTTTTAGCTAGTATAGTAGATAGTAGGAGGCATAGTAGCTCTACTCTACTTCCCCCACTACTGCCCAAATTTTCACTTTCCTCCACACCATACCCGTGTAAACGTGATTAAGTCAGTAGTAGAATAGAGTTTCCAGTAGGGTGAAGCTGTCTTGAGTTGTATTTGAGACTTGTATCATTTACTTTCGTGTCTTCAGGCGTGTTCTGTGTGAATATTATTGTATTTGTATTTTCTTCCCAACAACGCTCATTTTGAGGAATTTAAAAACCTATCATCAACACAAACAGTGAGGCAAACTGTCATCAACACTCTACTGGGTGTGAACAGCCGGCTTCTGTAAATCTGTAGAGTGAACAAGATAGTGGCTCTACTAGAAACTCTAATCTACCCACAACTCTACCCGTGTAAACCTGGCTTTAATGGGGTAGAAATTGGTTTTTCCCATTTTTGACACTGAAAACACAAAATTTCACAATTTCTTTCCAAACCATTTTGTAGAGCTTAAAAAAATGAAATAGCTTTTGACGTCTGTATTTTTGGTTTTTACTTGATAATGTACTAGTCCCATCCCAGTCCACTCCATTTCCACTAGCGTGCTATCTAGCACTAGCAGTGCAGAGTGTGGGAACTGTCTGTGGCAATTACATTAATGTACTGTATCTGCAATCCTAAAATGCTATGGGAAGGATAGGGAAACAGGTCCAAGACGTAGGGAGTTGTGAAGGAAGTAGTAAAGGCAAGCAGTGTGGAGTGTGGGGGGTACAGTTTCTTAACTGGGCTATGCCAATATCCATTGAAACTATCGAATTGAAAATATTGATTAATAATCAATATTTTTAAATATATCTATTATTACTTAAATTAAACTATCATAACCTAACCTAACCAACCAAACTTGCTGATAGTGAAAAAATTGCATGAAGGTTTACTTATCGAATCAATAGCTTCAATCGATATTGGCATAGCCCAGTTAAGAAACTGTACCCGAGTGTGGAAATGGAATAACGTATCTGCAATACTAAGACTGTTTCCAGAGTAAACTAATGATTTTCCCCGAGCAAAGCTTGGTCCCCAGGTACTTATATAAATTTGCCGTTTCTAGGTTAGGTAGGGGAGGGGGGAAACGATACGATACTTTTTTCGATATTTTTGGCGATACGATCCGCGAGCCTACTTAACACCAAGTAGGCCTAGCAGGTAATCAAACAATAGGCCTAACCATTTAACTTACACATTTTCAGGCAAGTTTGTAGGCTACATAGGATAAGAGCGTTTTTCATGTACAAATACGAAAATGCCTCACTTAAAAATTGTTCTTATTGTGATGAGGCTAGGCTAGGATGCAGCCTGCCCTGCAAGCCTCATAATAGTCATAATCAATTGTGGGTGGCTGATGCCGGTAGGCACAACACAAATTTGATTGGCCTGTCGGTAGTAGCCTACTTCGTAATCCTCCAAAATATCCTGAAAATAATTTATAAAGTTAATACTTACTTGACTAATTTCATGACGCTGGCTTTAAAATATCTATTTTAACTTATTAAGAAAGGCGAAAGACAATCTGAATCTCAATCCTTAATTCCTACCTAACCAAGAAATAATTAACTACGAACAAGGAACGAACGATAAACGGCGAGGAGGAACCGGGAAGGGAACGCGGGAACTCAACTATCGTTGTAAATAATGCAATGGCCAATCAAATGATGCAATTTTACATTTACAAAGAGAACAAGAAGAAGACCTGGAATACTGGAATTGGAGTTTGTCAAGACGAAAAAAGTGGATCGTCAACGAAAGGAGGGAATTGAATTAATTAGTTAGCCATCCATATATTACCATAGATTAAAGAGTAGGTGCTTGCTAGCAGTCATAACATAACGAACGTAACAGCGGGAAGAAAAATCGGTTTCATAATAATTGACATAGAATAAATTATCTTTGTATGATAAAGTTTTTATTATCCTGCCATATAGGCTTTGTGTAAAATATATTTAATTTCATTGGATCAGCTGTCTTAAATTGTGAGATTAGCATTAATTTGTCAGTTCTGATGTTTACTTTGAAATGCAGTGTTGGGGAAGCTACAGTACTTTTAAAAAGTAGCTAGCTGCAACCTCAACCACAGTAGTAGCTATAGCATCATGAGAAACTAACCTTAAAATAATAGAAACTAATAATAATTGTAAGCAAAGCACGACATCTATCTACAGTACACCGGACAGAAGTAACAATAAAATTGGCTTTAGCTGTTCCATAATGATGGGAAATCTACTAAGGAGTGTATGTACTTGAGGAGTATGTTTTATCATTGACTATAGAACATTAGATTATAGAATTAGGAATAAATAATGGAATAGGGATGAATAAAATACAATAGTAATACTATTATTGACAATATTATATACTCTATATAAGATAAACCATTGCCCTATTTTTTGCTGTATTTTGTTCTTTAATCAATCATTCTCTTTTTCATATCCTGTTTGGTTTGGATTGTTTCTATTTACATTCATTTACAAAGAAAGATTCAGCGAAGGTTAAAAATATCTTAAGTTTTGAATGATCTAATATTCAAAGACTAACTAGTGAAAAAAAAACTACTGGTTGATTTCCCCGCTATCTGTCTGTTAGGTCAGGTGATCAGTGATTGGTTTGGCTATTTTTTTATATGTGAACTACAATGCTATTGCTTGATTGCTTCCTCAAACGTCATTTTTGTGACTACTCTGTCTGTCAAGTTTCTGATTGTGTTTGTTTCACTTGTGTTTTACTTTCAGGAAAAAGAAACAGTAAATCATTTGTGAATGGTAACATTTCTCAATAATCGGATCAGTTTAAATTCGTCAGGTGGTGTTGGTTTAGTAGGTTGTGACCGCTGATAAAACAGTTTTTGTTCAACATTTGATCGCTAACTCAGTAACTCACCTTAGGCCCCTATTACTCAAGATAATTTCACTCACCTAAAATTTGTTTAGTTCTATGAGCATTCAATTTAAGCAGAGATTACCTAGGTTTGCAACAGATGTCAGTATCTGTTTCAGTTTGTATGATCAGATTTGAATTATGCAACTTGTTGGGTGAAGATCTAGATTCTAGTGACTGTACTATGGCCTCCAGTCAAGGCAACAACTCAAAATCTAGAACTAGAAGAGATATTCGAGAATATACTGTTGAAACATATCCACATAAAACTGAGACTTCTGTGCCAAAACCTCTAGTTTCTAACTCATTTTCAAACCGGGATAGGAAATCACAAGAACCTGATCAGTCTTCTTCAAAAGAAGATTGTGATCTAGTTAATTTTGTGTCAGGTAATCCATTTGTTGAAATTACCAAAGGTATTCTCCATCTATACAAAGAAAATGAATTAACATCTGTTGATAAGGCAGCTTCAAGTCAAACTGTTTGTATCCTGGCAGTACCAGCATCAATGACCTGTCATGATTTGATTACTTTCTTAGCCGCTTGTCAGGGAGATATAAAGAATATCCGTGTCATACGTGATAGTTCTCCAAATCAATATATGGTTCTCTTAACATTTCGTTCTGAACAATCGTCAATTAACTTTTACATGTCTTATAATGGAATACCATTTAATTCTCTTGAACCAACTTCATGTTGCAACTTGGTGTTTGTGTCTCATGTAGAATCAGTAACTGAAGGAGAAGCTCAAATCCCTCCAATACTCCACACAGAGCTACCAACATGTCCCGTTTGCCTTGAAAGAATGGATGAATCTGTTGATGGGATTTTAACAATTCTTTGTAACCACTCATTTCATGGCAGTTGCCTTTCAAAGTGGGGAGATACAACTTGTCCAGTTTGTCGTTACGTTCAAACACCTGAACTAGTGGCAGATAACCGTTGTTTTGAATGTAACTCTGCTGATTCACTTTGGATTTGCCTTATATGTGGACATGTCGGTTGTGGCAGATATGTACATGGCCATGCATTCAAGCACTATTTAGACACTCAACATTGTTATTCAATGCAGCTGGAGAACAACCGAGTTTGGGATTATGTTGGTGACAATTTTGTCCATCGACTGCTTCAAAATAAAGCTGATGGAAAATTGGTTGAAGGAAATGTTCCAGGTAAAGAAGAAACTACCGAGAAGTTAGATTCAATGCAATTGGAGTTTACTTACACTCTTACTTCACAGCTGGACTCTCAACGACTGTATTTTGAAGACCTAATAGCAAGATTTGAGCAACAGAGTCTTGAGAACACTTCAAAAATCAAAGAAGAACTGGTCAAACAGACTGAAGAAAATAAAAACCTTCAAGAAAAAATCACCCTTTTAAAAAAAGACAAAGTTAATGCTGACAAAAAAATCCAACAACTCACTACAAGATTGAACCAGACTCAAAATGAATTAACAGAAGAACGCCAAATGAGCAAAGCAATGCAGGCCAATCAATCTGCATGGCAAAAGAAGTATTCAGAATTAGAAGATAAATTCAACTGCTTTAAATCAGAAAAGGACAAGGAAATATCAGAACTGAAAGAACAACTTCGTGATATTATGTTTTACTTTGAGGCTGAGAAACAGGTAATGGCAAGTGAGCAAAAAGATGAAATTGCTGAAGGACATATAGTTGTTGGAGAACCTTCAAGTGGAAACAGAGCCAAGCACCGAAGGAAGAAGAGTATGAAATAAGAAAAGGATTTTGCAGATGGATAGGCCTAATAATTTTAAAATGAATGCAGCCAACATACAAGTAAGTTATCAGTAGGCTAAGCTACATTGGCGTAGATAGACTTTTGTCAAGGTGGGGTCCCTTCTTCCTCTTGGAGGGTACCCCCGGGTCCGGGGGAAATTTGAAAAATTAACTGTTCAAATTACAGTTCAAACAATTTATCTAAATTGTTCTAAACACTATTTTTAATAATTTAGATTTAAGTGAAATCTGCAGCCTATTAATAATAGGCTACCTACCTAAGCAATAAAATTGTATGAACATCTTTTTTCTTAACAAATTCAAGTTCCTTTGTTGCACACAACTAATACCAGACGATTGACATTAGGTGTGATGAAGGTCAGATCAAGCGTAGTGAGGGTGAAGGTGTAGTACCGGTAGAAGTAGGCTAAAGGGAGTCTTTAGGCTGTAGACTGTTCGGTACGGTAACTCAAGTGTGTATGGCGCACAAATACCGTACCACTGGCACTCATTATAAACAAATGACGTTTTTGGCCCGAATCCTATACTAATATTGTTTAGACAGTTCCATTTAAACAATGTTAAATAGTGTTTACTTTTCGGACCAAAAACGTCATTTGCTTATGTTTATGATCCATACCGGGTCTTTTCTAGTATTCGTGGTTCGATTCCCATCATTATGGAACGGTTGAAGCCAATTTTATTGTTAGTTCTGTCTGGTTTTCTTTAGATGTCGTGTTTTGTTTACAATTTGTTTCTATTATTTTAGGGTTAGTTTCTCATAATTCGTGTCTCACTGTTTGGTTAATATAGCTAGTGGACGAGTTATTGTTTACTATGATTAGCTAGCTTTATTTGGTTAAACGAGGTTTTAAATTAATGAAATAACAAGAAACAAGTTGTAAACAAAACACGACATCTATAGAAAACCAGAAAGAACTAACGATAAAACTGGCTTCAACTGTTCCATAAAGATGGGAAATTTACTGAGGGAGTATGTTATATCTATGGTATTACCTATCAATTACATATTGTAATAATTGTATTGAACAAGTAATAACATTAAAGTTATTATTAATATGATATTATCGTTTAATTTCGTTAGGCCTCTTTAGTGATAACGAACTAAGGTAACAAATTTAACGTTTTATAACGTGGGTCATTGATTATTATGCAATCTCACTTTCGTCACCGGGAAATATTTTACTTCTCGCTGATTTTGTATTCGTACACTGCTTATGTTGTCTGCAAACATTTTGAAATATTAAACAGACAACCTGGAGCTGGAGTCATGAACTTTGGCTGAGGCTTTTAATATTGTATCATTTTACATTTAAGTTTTGCCCTGATATTGATTGTATTTCGTTAAATACAATATATTGCTACTCTGCTGACTTTGTTAGCTTATATCACAATTAACCAACACTAAAGACATATGTTTAAACACTTGAAATCCATACAAAGATAAAATTAAAAAATGCAATAGGCTATTTTAGCCTGTGATAAAAGTACGTCATTCTTTTAAATTAACCAACTTTTAGTGTATGAGTTAATTTTATCAGTGTATATAGTGTATTTTCGCTGGCCCCAGTTGTAGAAGTGGTATTAAAATCCTGAACTTCAAACTTAAATCTTTCTAGGAATAAACTTATTTTCTCGTAACTCTTCTAAATCTTCCCCCATTACTCCTTACATCCATTTGGAATCCGCCGGTAATTTGGGTTTGTTTGTCAGATTTGCTAGTCTTAATCTAACCTACAGGAATGTATTATGCACCGATCCAATGTCAATAGTGGCTGGCGTTGCTCTATTCTAGGAATTATTTGAAAGCAAAGCAACCATTTGGTCTACAAATTTTTAACTTTCATACAGCATGCCCTTATTTTCTTTCTATGAAAATTGTTTATACAGCTTTCTTTGAATGTTGTTTTTTGCAAATTAAAATCTAATGAGGTATTCTGGCTACTGTATTGCATGACAAATAATGGTGATTTGATATTTTCTGTTGCAGGTTCAGTTGACATAATTTATGCATACATCACTACCACCATTATCTTCTTCTACCTTCAAAATATCATGGATAGAAATTTACCAATAACATGTATAGTGTGCAGAATTTTATTGACTTTTACCAACATGCTTACTTAGTTTGAAAAGTATTTTTATACACTGCTAAGCTTTACATTCCTGTGATTTTACTGAACATTATATACCTAACCAATTAAATAAAATATAACTGTGTAGATTAAAGCATCTGTCATATCATCAGGCTAAATGCTAGCCCTGAAATAAGCTTAGCTATTCATCGTTTGAAATTTGGCTGTGAGCAGTTTTGGTATGATCATATTGTGAATTAACATTTGTAATACATCATTATAAATAATTTATCAATTATTATGTATTTTCATCTCTTACCTTGATCAATCAAATCTCTTAGACTTTAAAAGAAGAGATTACTGTAATCTCCAATACACAATATGTTGAAAAATATTAACCATGCAAATTATTGTTAACTTAATGTCCTAGGTTAAAAAAAGTTGAATACACAGGGATTATCACAAACTTATTAGCCTTATTAGTTATTAGACAAGAAAACCCAATGTTATTACAATACAAACAATGAAATAAAGAGTTTACATCATACTGTCCGGAAAGCAGCCGTTTTTAGTTCTCTCAATCGTTAGCAAAATCATTTTTTCGGGTACAGTAACTTAAAATAGGGAACAGAAAAAACATGTGGTAAACTTTTCAGTTTGCTAACCTCAAAATTTTATCAAAGGTGCATTATGAAATCACTACTAATTAATTACACAATATTTAAGCTATGTTTGTAAACAACCAAAGTGTAAACATTGATGATGACCTTGTATAACCTCAAATTATGTGGTCTAATTTTGTAACAATAAGAAGGTTAATTCCACAGTATGATGAAAATAGTTGTTTGTCACACGGAAGAAAAGTTACCTAGTGTCTTGTTGGTACAAAAAGAGCCACATTCACTTCTAGTGGTGAAAACTTACTATATCTTGCTGCTATAATCCACTTTCTAAGAAATGATGCCATACTAGGAAGAATGTAAGTAGTACACAGTGCAAATTGAGGACCAATATGTAATTTTATTAAATATAAATAATCAAACATCGTCTTAACACCTTAAAAACATTTTATGTTAACATTTTATGTTGTGAAAATAAAAAAATAAGTGATATTGATATTATAGTTTATTTACATAAACTATCAATTATAACATATAAAATATTCAATTAGTACTTTTAAATGTATATACACAATATACAAGTATACTAGTGGTTACAGTATAGTACAGAGTTATAGAGTATAAAGTATAGAGGGTTACAGCTCAATGAACAATTTGAGAGTATCGTATTGTTTAAGTCGATGGAAAATCTCTGTTGATCCTGTTTTACAAGCAAACCAAAAAGATACAGTAAATCACCACTCTATGCGACATATTCTAACCAGAAAATTGTAATCGTATGATTCTATAAGCATTGGTAGGATTGCAAAGTACTACACAAACATCATTTCAAGGGTAATAACAGTCACAATTTCCACTGACTTTAAAAGAGTCAACTAAACTATTATACTAATGGACACACAACTAAATGGAACAACTAATGGAAATTCTCACGATGTACATTCGTTCGATATAAGCATTGAGTGTACACGTCAGTACATACGTGTATACCCAATGATATAAGCAACGGTTCTTGCAATTTATTGCTTATTAGCGAATTTCCCTATAGGGAAGTAGCTATTACCGTAGGTCTCATGGTAAGACCTAAGCCCGGGACCGATTTACTTTTTCATTTTGATGTCCCCAGAGGCCAAAAACACCATTCGTTCAAATTTTTATATATTATATATATATATATATATATATATATATATATATATATATATATATATATATATATATATGTGTCCATCCGCACGATAACTTGAGTAATTTTTGTCCGGTTTTGATAAAATTTGGTTTGAAGGTGTAAGGCAGGATAAACTTGAATGAGTTCGCGAACCAGCCTGATCGGACTATGGGAACGGGGGTTTATGGAGGGTTTTATGGGGTAAAAATCGGTTTTTCCCATTTTTGACCCTAAAAACACAAAATTTCACAATTTCTCTTTAAACCATTTTGTAGAGCTTAAAAAAACAAATAATTTAGTATATTGAAGCGTTATTATGCGCCTAATTGTTACGGAGAAAATTCAAAAAAATTTAAATTTAAAAATTCCCATGTTATTCTTATGGAGAATATTATAAATATTATAAATAAATAAATAAATAATATTATAAATGAGAAAGTTTGGATGGATGGATGTATGGATGTATGTTTGTGACAAGTGAACGCGAAAAATACTGGTCGGATTGGGCTGAAATTTGGCATGATGATAGCTCACATTCCCGATTAACATATAGGCATATTCTTATTTCAAAAATCCTTTCGGGCTCCGCCCCAGTGGCTCTGGAGTTTCCCATGTTAACCTTATGAGAAATGAAATTATTGAATCTTAACAGCTGTTTCAATTAAACAAGTTGGTTCTGTTCTGTGATGTTCAATAGCATTAAAGTCACAAAAATTACCAACAGGGTGCAGCACTATTATTTCTTTTACATTTATGACAACAGCTAATTTGCAACCAAAAGGTGAGTGAGCGTAGTGAACGAACTTCAACCTGGAGGCGAGTTAGCGTAGCGAACGAGCTATCCTGAAGGCAAGTGAGCGCAGCGAACGAGCTCCAACCTAAAGGTGAGTGAGCGTAGCGAACGAGCTCCAACCTAAAGGTGAGTGAGCGTAGCGAACGAGCTCCAACCTAAAGGTGAGTGAGCGTAGCGAACAAACTTCAACCAGGACGTGATTGAGCCATGCGAACGAGATTATCTTGAAAATTAAGAAGTTAAACGGGGCAAAGCCCTCGGGTTACAGCTAGCTGTAACCCGCGGGCTTTGCCCCGTTTAACTTCTTAATTTTTTAAGATTATCTCGTTCGCATGGCTCAATCATGTCCTGGTTGAAGTTTGTTCGCTACGCTCACTCACCTTTAGGTTGGAGCTCGTTCGCTACGCTCACTCACCTTTAGGTTGGAGCTCGTTCGCTGCGCTCACTTGCCTTCAGGTTAGCTCGTTCGCTACGCTAACTCGCCTCCAGGTTGAAGTTCGTTCGCTGCGCTCACTCACCTTTTGGTTGCAAATTAGCTGTTGTCATAAATGTAAAAGAAATAATAGTGCTGCACCCTGTTGGTAATCCTTGTAACTTTAATGCTATTGAACATCATAGAACAGAACCAACTTGTTTAATTTAAACAGCTGTTAAGATTCAATAATTCCATTTCTCATAAGGTTAACATGGGAAACTCCAGAGCCACTGGGGCGGAGCCCGAAAGGATTTTTGAAATAAGAACATGCCTATATGTTAATTGGGAATGTGAGCTATCATCATGCCAAATTTCAGCCCAATCCGACCAGTATTTTTCGCGTTCACTTGTCACAAACATACATCCATACATCCATACATCCAAACTTTCTCATTTATAATATTAGTAGGATAAAATATTCAATTAGTACTTTTAAATGTATATACACAATATACAAGTATACTAGTGATAAATCATGTTATCACTGCAGTAGCTATAATAAAGTTATATTTTTCACAGTATTGTTTACAACTATAAATTTCATAATTTATAGAATCAGCACCTCTAAATTTACCAGTTAAGGTGGTTTCACACACATCAGTTCCGGTATGTCATAGTTCAGACACATCGTAGTCAACAAATTTGTGTTTATATTTTAAGTGCTGTTTGTAATAATCATCAAGATAGGCGATGAAAAATTTATAGAATGTTGTGCTTTAATAAAAAATAAAATCTTGACTCTAACTTCACTGTAAACTAAGTACCAGAAGACTGACTGAAACCAACTGTCAGACAGTTTACTGAAGGCCTGTATTGCCAGAAGCGGCTGGTGTGTCTGACTGCTGAGCGATGATCGCTCCGCGTCAATCACTGCACACTGCTTTGAAAGACAAAATGTTTTGTTGTGTAAATCATTTTCGACTAAACTTAGCACACATTTGAACTGTGTAACATCAAGCCAGAAAAACTTGTGAAACTTTGTCTCATCAGAACAAAGGCGGTTTTCTATTATAATTTATAATATCCCTCTACAGGTCTTTTTAAAAACATGGAACGTACTTCTTCCCTTGGTTTGGACAAAATTCCTAAAATCTCTTCATCATGCTCTTCCTTAGTTTACAAACACTTCACTATTGCTTTTTACAGCTCATTTTGTACAAACAGAACTGAAGAAAACCACTTTCTGATCAAATAATCGCAAGGAACAGAGGCTTCTGGCAAAAAAGGCCTGAGCTATATACACTGAGCGATTATCAGTATCAGACGCTTCTGGCAAAACAGGCCTTGAGAAATTGCGGATGCAACTGAGGCTGAACTGTGACTGGACTAATGTGTGTAAATCTACCTTTACTTGTTGAAACAAAGGGGTCAAACCAACCAATCAACTAACCAATTATTACCTATGAGAGCATAACTAATATAAAGCGAGGAAATGATAGTATAAAACTTTGCTTAAATAAAACTATACAATGATTGGGCTTTGGGTTAACCAGAGTTGCTAGTGTGGTAGACGTCAGGTACTATCAATGGTTGAGCTGCCTCGAGTACTGTCTCACCAGCCAGGTGAAAGTTGTTGGGATGAATAGATATGTGGTAAGCTGCATTTCAAAGGGTTCATAGCAAACGTTTCAAGATACTGGGGGTAAAAATATAATAATTTGTAAATTAGGTTTAGTTTGGAACAAAACTTTGTGTAGTACTGGTCCAACTTATGCCATTCATACTTGGCCAAGCTATTTGTTTAATGTGTGAGAATCAGAATGTGCTTCACATTGTCTTGGTGTGTTGTTTCCATCTAAAGAATAAAATGTGACTGACAGCTATAGACAGTCATACATCAACTTAAGAAAATTTCAATATGTGCTTAAGCATTCTTGAGTCATGTGCAAGCAGACAGATTAATTATGGGACTTTTCTTTTCAGTGAATATCAGCCAACAAGTACTGTATTGTAAGAACTTAAATTGACAACCTTGATCAGTTGATTCTTCAGCCGGTTATTTCTGAATAATTTAAAACCATGGTAAATAATTCTTACCATAATAACCTTTACATAAACCTATACATACCTTAAAGGTTTAATACCTTTAAATACCACATCAAGGACAGCTTGATTCAGTTTTGAACACTGCAAAAACTACTTTCCTCAAGATCAAACAGCAACCTTCTGATTACGAGAAGAACAATATTTTTTTGAACTCGGATACCGAGCAATGATCAACATGTAAATATATCTGACCTAATCATCATGGCCATACACCATTCGATATAACCCATAGCCTAGGAAACTAAAGAACATTAATAATACTGCAAATGCAAATGTCTTGCTATTTTCTCTACGAAGGCCTTTGATGGATTCTTCCAGACTAGAACACTGCTTTGTAATGTCTTGCAGCTCGTTTTCAAGACTTTGTCTGAAAGAAAGGAGAACAAATTAATTAAGCTTTCCAAACAGACTTCCGAACCACATTTTTGCCTTGGTATATACGAATTGGTCTAATTATCAGGATAGTACTGCGGATAGTCGTAGACTCGTAAGGACCTTAATCCACACCAGGGAGTATCGCATCCACAGTGCATGCCTATAAATTATATTATATAGCCTGTTCATTATAGACAACTTCTGCAAACATGGTAGACCATAAACACAAAACAAAAAATTGAAAATGAAGAAAATCATTCTCGGTCACAGCAAAACTTTGAGTGTCCCATGCAATTGCAATATAACTGTGATCTCTGCAATGCAGAAGGTCTCTTATGTTCACTGTAAAATAGGGAACATCTTTCGTGTTTGGGAGACCATCATCTTCCTCTTCCGGGATCGTGAACGAGATTAAGGACATCTTTAGTAGTGGAGGAGACTTCATCATTCTCTCCCGTGATCATACAAAATCGTGATTTTCGATCGTGCAACTTTTAAAATAATTTTAACTTTTGCGAGACTAACATTTCTGCAAAAAATCAAACTACCCAACAGATTATCAGTTTAATTTATTTTTTTTAAGAAAAAAGAATCCACTGCCAGATTCCTGGAGTGAGGAGCGCACATACCTGCTCTAATGAGAGGCCATAAATGAAATTTGTCGGGATATGACCGAGGCAGAGATAACATGCGGACCTCGGTCCTACACGTGCAAGGAACTTATCACTTACTTATAAGGGTTGCAACAGACAATGGCTGGGTCAACCCTGTGACTAAATCCCATTAGTCGCACCTCACTAAATACACTAAAAGTGGAAATGTAATGAGTAATTTTGGAAGTATACATAATTGAAAAACAATTTGTGTTTGTCCTACGAATCAGATCATTTTCAATGCAGCTTGGTACAAATTAAATTGTTACCACTAAATAGTAGGGAACTAAATTTTCATCCTTTTTCATTTTATTATGATTAAAATCATCTATCTATCTATATTATTAATATGCTACATGAAACTTAATTAAACTAACAATAAGGCTTTTTTGGTTTAAGATTTAACCCCACATATTATATACCAAAATGTTAGTCTAGGTGTGTAGATTTGCATTACATTTTTTAAACAGTCCCTTTGCCTCTGCCGCAGTGGTTTTTTAAGTTCCCATGTTATCCTTATGAAGAACATATTTGTTTACATTATGATCAGCTGGATAATTTAATGGCTGATATTATTTTGGTTGCAATAATTTAAGGAAACGTGTGCTACAAACATTTACTGACTTGGTTGAAATGAAATATTTAACTTACTATTTTAATTTGGGTTAGCGTAAATATTACAATGGAAAAAAGCGAGAAAGCTTGGACAATTTGATATACTAAATACCCCTGCCGCAGAAAACCTACAGACTAAAAAGTGTTTTTTGACCAAACGTCAATAACTTAGTACAGGATGAAATAAATAAATTTGCCATATATTAACATATATATCCATAAACAAGTAAACTACAACAGTTTTCATTTTCCCCATAAGAATAATATGGGTTTATTAAATTTACACTTTTTTGAATTTTCTCTGTAACCATTAGGCATACAACAATGCTTCACTGTACTAAATTATTAATTTTTTTAAGGTCTAAAAATTGTTGGGAAATAAATTCCAAAATTTAATGTTTTTAGGGTAAAAAATAGAAAAACCCCATTTTTACTAAATAAAACCCTCCATAAACCCCCGTTCCCATTAACACTGTGCTGCATTTCTTGAGCAATCATTGTTGTTGTGTTTTTCTAAAAGTATATTTTTGTAGTAGGTAGTATATTGTTGGAAATATCAAGATTGCTGAAACGCTAATACGTGCTGTTATACTAAACAATAAACTCGGTTAGAAACAATTCAATTCAAATAGTTTATTGCCATTAAGTATACATGTCATACAATAGGCCAGGTCAATGGAGATAATATACAATTCAAAGTACAATGTACAGAGTCAAGTGTAAATAGATGAACATGCTATACTAATAAACTAATAATACTGGGTTTTTGTACAAAAGTATTTGAGATGTATTGATAATGATGGTAATAATACTGTTTATAGTTAAGCGAACAAGTTGGGTAAGTGCCTATAATAAAATAAAATAATTAAGGCTAAAATTGGCAGTGAGAGACAACTTAAAACTAAATAACAATAAATTTTTAAATAAAGTTGACAGAAATAACATTATTATGAAAGACTATTATATCACAGTTCATGAAACCATTGTTACAGAATTAGAATTTTACAGAAAATCATCATGTTTGAAAGATAAAAATTCATCCATAGAGTAGATAACCTTTCTGTTCAAAAAAATCGGTCAATACATTTTTCAGTGACTTAATAGGCAAGTTGCGTACATTTTCAGGGAGGGCATTGAAAAGTTTGAGTTGTAAATATTTATAGCTGCGCTATACTACACACAAAATGCTGTGCTAACAACAAAAAATCCTCAATAATCATACTTTATTTTATAACTTATTCCTTCCATATCTTTACATTTGGCAATCTACCATTCATTCCCAATTATCGTATCTTATATCCTTCTCTGGCGATCTCCTGTAGCTCGTCAGCTGTTAGCGCCTCGGCAAACCTTTTAGGCAGAAACATGCTGAAGTGTCCGCCCTTTTCTGTGGTTGCTACTACCCTACCAGCAACCACCAGGTACCCCGCTTCGTCAGTTAGGGAGGATACCTCCACTCAAGCAGGTACGCCCCCTTCTCGAGAGTGTTCAATTTTGTGCTAAGAGACATGATGGTTACTGAAAAAAAACAAAAAAAAAAAAAAAAACGTAATAGACTAGTGGCAAACTAAAATATTTATGAATAGTTATAATGTAGGGTGATCACTTGTGTAGTTAAAATACAGGGAATATGACATTCCATGTACAAATATTGTGAAGTTATTGTTCAAAAACATAAAACAGCTACAAAACACTGCAGCTGTAATTAATACTTAATAACAAATAGCTCCAAGTTAACAACAACTGTCTTAAGAACTTATATTAACAAGTAAAAAAAAAAAAAAAAAACAAACGCCAAATACCAAGAAATGTACAAAAGTTATGCGACGTAACAGAAAACACAACATGCAATAAGACGAGTAGATGTTGCGATATGTATTATTGCTAACATAAGTGCCAATGCAACGTAACAGAAAAAAATAAATGTGCAATATGACGAATAGATGCTGATTTGAATTATAGCTAAAATAAGCATTGATGGTAGTATAACAATACAAATGCAGTAAATACATACTATAGCATGAATACCAAACACTTATGTGTATTCAGCGATATAAGTGCCAATGCGATACTACAGAAAAAAGAAATATGCAATATGACGAATAGATGCTGATATGCATTATAGCTAACATAAGCACTGATGGTAGTATAACAATACAAACACAGTAAATACACACACCATAGCATGAATATCCAACACTTAAGTCTATTCAGCAACATACAATCAAATGTAAACACAATTCATCTAACAGTAACATCTGCCTAAAATGCAACAGCGAATTACTAACTGTATTTTACAGTGTTATCTGGTAAACTAGTACAACTATTGCAAATACCAAGAGTAGCAAAGTGTGAGCAAGGCCCAGGTACTCACCTGTTTGGTTGCGCAGACGGAGCTGTACTGACACTGACTAGTGAGGGGCTTATAAATCAACTGAAAGGTCAACTTTCCACTTTCGACCATGGCCATTAAAAGCGGCCCTCTAAAACTGCAAAGGCACATTCGAGCTCCAGCAGCAAGACATCACAGCTAGACTACGAGCTTACTTGATGACTCGACTGCATCTTGAATTGTAAGTTTCTTTTCTGTCTTATTGCCAGTTAAACCTAACTTTTTTAACTTTTCACATTGAAGTTGTACTTTGCAAACTTTGCAAAAAGATATTTAATGTTACAAGGTGCCCTACACTCTTTTGAAAATAACTACTTATGTCACTAGTACTTACGAAACAAATCTGTCAAAGGGTTGACGTCACTGTATTACGTGTAACTGTAGAACTTGACCTAATTCTAGTAGCTTCTTAAAGAGTTTCACCACTATAGGTCAGCCGCTTAGAAAGCGACCTCTTTGTAGCATTGGTGCGAGAGAGAAATACTGAGCTGTGGGAGTGAGACAGACTATGGCTCTACCCCCACTTGGCTGTCGCCCGCGCCCCTCCCTTTGGCAGTTTTCACACTGCACGACACGACAACGGCATGTCACCGACACGGCACCGCCCCAGTGTCGTGGGAGTTGGAATCCTGTGTTATCAAATGGAACAGCTTACACACACACCGACACGGCAGTGCCATGTTGGTGCCGTGTGAAAACGGCCATTGGCGGAGAGGGAGAACATACCCTCCCTTGCTGTTACCTCCCCTACATGCGCTAAAAATCCTCGCGCAGGTGAACGCTATCTATCCGGCCGACCTATAGGAACACAATCACTACTTACTAAGAATGCAAATAACTAAATACAAACCATGCAAAACATATTTAGTTTAACACAACAACACCATTGGTGACTCACGGAGCTGGGCTCCGTGCTACTGGAAAGATGGACGTGAAGTACTGTTACCGTACTCATAAAGATGCTGGCTGGCGATATCACATATTTTTATATAAAAAACAAAAGCACCCAGAGGAAAACTCCGTGGTCCCACCAATGGAGGGGTAAGCGAAAAATAAAAAAACATATTGACTTAAAGACCAGAGATATTTTGGTTAACTTAGGCCTCCTCAATTCAAAGACTTGAACATTGTTTTGATAATTATCTATTTGGTAACATGATAATTAAAAAACTATGTTAAAAGTTAGCTTACCTCTCCTCTGTTGAAATGTAAGATGATTTCAACTTCTTTTCAATTACATCCACCCTGCGATAGTACAGACTCACTGTGTCCTGAAGTTCTTGCATCTGTAATCAAACAATACACCTATTATAGGCCTAAGATAAATATATAGAAATTTTGATAGGGCCTAATTACTATAGATATAATGAAAATTTCAATTTGTTGGCAAATTTTTTGAACCGTTTAGGCCTAGTTCAGATCAGCACACCACATTTTGTTTTTAAAGTAGGACGTTTCTACGCATTCTATGAAACGTTCCTATTTTCTTTCAAATAATTTCTAGCTCTTGTGAAGAATATCTTACCTCTTTTATGATTGTGGATTTGGAAGAACATGAAGTATCCATCGTATAAATCACAGCAATTCTTACTTCTTAGTGCCTAAAACGTCTGATATCAATCCCGTGAGCTTGTTTGCTTGTTTATTACCCTAACCTAAAGGCAGTTTCTAGGTTAGCTGAGTTCGTTCATAATGTGGAATTGCGGCACGGCGTTTAAGTAGCTTAATTCATTAACGTATCAATCAGCCAATTTCAATAAGCCCTTTCGGTTATTAACATTATTATTCAATAACAAACGTTTTCGGTTTTCAATCTTTGATTTTAAAGTTTAGTTTTGGAGGTTAGGTAAGACAGCAAAGCAAAGTAGGTTGGGTGGTAATTACTTATTTTTTTCTTTTTTCCTTCTAGTTTGCTTGCAGTCTTCGGTAGTAGATTTCCCATCCTTGGAACAGCTGAAGCCAATTTTATTGTTAGTTCTGTCCGGTTTTCTGTAGGTGTCGTGTTTTGTTTACAATTTGTTTCTATTATTTTAGGGATAGTTTCTCATTATTTGTCTCTCACTGTTTGGTTACATAGCTAGTGGACGAGTTATTGTTTATGATTAGATAGTTTAATTTGGTTGCTCAAGGTAATTCTTGTAGCAGGTGCGGCTCAGTGTCTTACATTGTTCTCGAATACGGCTGAATTCATAATAAGTAGAAGGATGGAGAGTAGCTTTGTAGCTTAAATGAATTTTCTTTTTTTCAATGGTAAGATTAATTAGTTCTTTAGTGAACCGTCTTGAAAAAGGGGGTTTCCGAATACGTTTGAGTGGACTACACTTCACACATATATCTCACACATATTGGTGTATTGTTATACAAATTTAGTTAACAATAAAATTCTTACTTTTATCTTGAAGGTATTTGTTAACACGGCCACCTTTAACTCCAGGCCACGGCCTTCAAAGTGGCAACATCCACGGCCGCTTTTAACTCCAGGCCGCGGCCATCGAACTGGCAACGTCGCAAGTGGTGTTGTAGCAGCTGATTTTTTTGGAAGCAACTAATGGTATTTATGTATTTACGAAAGATTGATTACTGGACTATGACAATATTGACTCCGCTTAAAAATGTACAGATATAGATTTTAATTCATATTGTTTCAATTTTCAATTCTGTATGTTTTATTTTAAATATTTTAATAAATTTATGTTCATAAATTAAAAATTAAATCAATAAAGTGCGAATTAATGAGCTGATGTCACCTGTCTGCCATGTTATCTTATGGGACGTCTGTCACTGAACAACACCACTTGCGATGTTGCCAATTCTACCAGGCCGCAGCCTGTAGTTAAAGGCGGCCGTGCAACATCGCAAGTAGAGTTGTAACAGCTGTTTTGTTTGGAGGCGGCTAATGGTAATTTGTGTATTTTTTAAGAATAAAAAAGCTTGTTTACTGGGCTATGACAAATTGACTCTAATTTAATGTACACAAATAGATTTTCAATTTAAACATTGTTTTGGTTTTCAATTCTAAATATTTTATTTTCAATATTTTATTACATTTGTGTTCATAAATTTAAATTTAAATGAATAGTACGCGAATTAATGAGCTGGTGTCACCTGTCTGCTATGTAATCTTATGGGACGGCTAGTGCTTGACGACTCCACTTGCAACGTTGCCAATTCTACCAGGCCACGGCCTGTAGTTAAAGGTGGCCGTGTTTGTTAAGTAGTGCATTCCTCCACGGCTACCTTCAACTCCAGGCCGCGGCCTGGTAGAATTGGCAACGTTGCAAGTATTAGTGTTGTCTAGCGCCAGACGTCCCATAAGATAACATGGCAGACAGGTGACATCAGCTCGGATAGTATCCGTGCATCAACTCATTATTTGCGTATTATCATTGGTATTATTCATTTAAATTTATTAACATAATTTTTTTTAAAGATTGAAAATGAAATATATAGTATTGAAAACCAAAACAATATTTTAATTGAAAATCTATTTTTGCACAATTAAAGCGGAGTCAAAGTTGGCCGTATGGTTCCTCCCACCTGAATTTTAATTTAGGATGGTGGATTATATGGAATGAAATATAGTTCGGGATTGAAAATGCCTCTATTATACAAGCTCTCAACATTCTACAGTTTTTTGTGTAACTATAGTGTGCGAAATGGCACTTGCATTACACATTACTGTTTATTTTTCCTACAGTATTGAAAGCCCATAGTACATTATTTGTACCATCTCAGATTTTTCTTATACCTTTCACATACTTACTACCCTGTGCTAAATTTCGTGCGGATCGCTTGTCGTTCAGGAGGAGTAGCTTATTTGGAAAACAAAAGCAGGAGTGTAGTATAAGAGCTTCGCTCAATTAATGTTTCATGATTATCCTGAAAATATATTCACGATTTTAATTGAATGTTGGTAGCACTAGCACATAGTTGAGGCGTCTGCCCTGAAGCATTGTTATCTGAGGCCACAAACTTCGCCACTGATCACCCTATTAACAGCTGCTATTTGCTTTATCACCTTAGTTGATCAGAGAATTCTCTTTATTGACCAATCTTCAACGTGTTATGCCTCTATTTTATGGCGTTATTTTAGACCAAGTAGGCTCTAACGTTGGATTCCTTTAAGATTATGGTGACTTTAACTTTACAAACCTTTTAGTGTTAAGTTGGATGGATTTAATAATATAATCTTTTAGAGATAAATTAGAAGATATACACTATGAGGTTAACATTATCATGTTTTTTCTCTCACGTAACTCCCAAAACCAGCAGATTTGACTTGTACATTTTTATATAATATTTCTTAACAATATAAATCTTTAAAATTTGGACCGTTTTTGTAACATAGGTATAATTTCATAATTAATTATTACCTTACTTTTAACTAACACGGTCAGGGTTGTTACAAATTAGCTAAATCATATATTTACTACCCGTTATATTATAATATAAAATATTGAATATAATTTGTGAGGTTTCAGTTTCGAGACGTTTTGTTGTCTTGGTCTCTCTCCTTTTTAGGTTTACGCATATCCAACAATTTCATACAGTTTACACGATCGTCGAACAACGCAAACGAAAAGTCTTCTGGAGTTACAATTATAACATAATGGTCCACATATTGTGGTTACCATGAATTCGTGGTGGGTAAATAGTTCGTATGTCCTTCAATTTTTGTTTTGTTTAAGTAAGATTTCATCTTTCATTTTTTTATTTCAATTGCGGAAACTCACACTTTATAGTAGTCAATAATCACGATAACAATCAAGACGTAATAAAACCTGAAAGAATAAATTCTATTAAGAAAACTAGGGATAATTATTTGGGTCATATATTTAGTGAAGCGGTTCAGAGGTCCATGTTAGGGTATTTGCAAGAGTGCAACCATACAGACTAACCAACACCAGGGAGTATGTTTTATCTATGGTACAACGCAGGTGGACGTGAACACACACCCAGATGAAAAGCGTATCAGAAAGCTACGGTTGAATGATAGACCTGCCTTTACTGATGTTGTACGCTTCTATAGTCAAAGAGTTGGCTACTTGTCGATCACGTGTTTCAATATGGCGTACAGGAATAAACATGCGATGTTCTTGTTGAGTCTGTTAGGATAGATTGACTATTCAAATGTGATAGACAGATTGTAACAATAGCGGCAACTTTTGCGAAATCAGCATGCACTAGTGGAACCCCGTCGAAATCGACGGTTAATCTTGAGGTTTTATGTAAATTCAGCTAACTGCGTTGGATAGAGTGAAGTCATTAAAATCTTAGTTATATGAAGGGAGGATAAGCAATAATAAGTATGACGATTGTGTTCCCTAAAAAACGTGATTGATGAATTCGTTTAACACAATATTTCCTACCTTTCTTTTTATCGGCTTTAGGTTGCCCAAAAGATTTTTTAGGAGTCTTATAATTGTTTGTTCATGAGTTTGTTTCATACCAAAGCCACTTTCACTATATGGGAGAATGAGTTCATATAATTAGTCTATCATGTTACGGAAAGAGTCAATATTTATTACTCTTATTATTGAGTAAATATTCATCTTTTTACTTTCTCCCCCTATACCATAGTATATGGAGAAAGTATTGTTTTCGTCAAAATTTTCGAGTTTGAGTTTTGAGTGGATATATTCGTTTTGGGTCCCCCTGTACCCAAAAAAGTGGTTTTCGAAGTGATGTCTGTGTGTGTGTGTGTGTGTGTGTCTGTGTGTCTGTGTGTCTGGATGTGTACAGAGCTAGAGACTACACCTGTGGTCCGATTTCGATGAAATTTGGTATGTAGGTTCTAATCCATGGTATCTCCAGGCGTTTTTTTTTTCATTTTTTTGAAATTTTGATTTATAATGGGGATTTTCCCATAAAAACCCATAAAAACCCGGAAAAATCTTATTTTCTCAAAAATGGCCCGAACGATTTTGATAAAAATTTAGTATGTTGTAGCCCTTTAAATTCTGAACAAAATGGTACAAATCCCATTTCTGTAAAAATTACGGTTCAAAAGTTATGGTAAATTATGTTATTTTCCCATAAAAATCCCATAAAATAACGAAAAATAGGATTTTAGACAAAAAATCCGTTTTTATTTAACATAGTATGTTATGATCCTTACAATTTTGATAGTTTTTCTCATTTCTTAGAAATTTTTATTTTTAATGGGTATTTTCCCATAAAACCCCATAAAATGACGGAAAAAAAGATTTTCCCAAAAATGGCCTGAACGATTTCGATAAAAATTTAGTATGTTATAGTTCTTTATATTCTGAACAAAATGGTACAAATCCCATCTCTGTAAAAATTACGGTTCAAAAGTTATTGTAAATTATGTTATTTCCCCATAAAAACTCCATAAAATAACTGAAAATCATATTTTCCCAATATTGGCTCGAACGATTTTGATAAAAATTTAGTATGTTATAGTCCTTTAAATTCTGAAGAAAATCTTACAAATCCCATTTCCGTATATTTACTCTCACCGCTTACACATGATAAAGGTTGTTGACAAACTTATGGGAGAAAGTATGTGTCAGAATGCTGATACCGTTTATTTTTATTTTTAATATCTGATTCTCCAGAAAGCAGTAACATTCTTACTTCGATCTCAGCAATTTTAAATCCTTCTCTTGCCACATCGACCCATGTATTTAATCATCCTGTTCTTACTTGATAATTCATTAACTTATGGGGTAGTTTTGTCTTGGCCATATAGATCACATAAAGCTGTGCATGTATTTCGTGGATTGGAATGAACCATAATTGTAGGACATTTGATCACAAATCTTGAACATTTGCGGAACCAAATCCATAACCTAGTCCAGTATTGGTAACAAATTATGCAAATACGATGAGATGTGATGACACTGTTGTGTTTCCGAATGTTTTGTATGTAGTGAGGTTTAGATGCGTTGTTCAACCTAGCTACATGTGTACATCAAAGTAAAAACTGTGTACACATTTTTTTTAAATACCTGAATTGACATTAGTTCACCTACTTTACCAAAACCATAGACTCCGTAGTTAGTCTATTCCAAAACTTGAACACAGCTCTCATCCTCAACGTAATCATCTATGACACAATTTTCAACCCGATTATCAAAAACTTTTATACCAATAAATGAATCTCAGGTGTTCTTTCTTGAATTTAAAAATAAATAGTGATTGAAAGTAGGAAAAAAAGGCAAGTGCCAACCTTACAATATATATAAGCTATCCCGATAAGGAATAGTTATATGTTCCTTTGAAATTGATAAGTCACACTTATTTCATAATTTAAAATTTTCTAAGAGCAATAAAGCATAGATTTTTGAACCAAACATTTCAAATGTATCATATATTCATCATTTTGTTGAAACTATAAAAAACTTGCCATACAGTGGAGAATCCATTTAAAATCATAAATAATAATGTAAACATTTAATTTTGACAGTTTCAGTAGACCTTTGAATACAATTTTAATATTAACAGCTGGTTCATTAAAAGTAGTGTAAATTATCCATATGGTCGAAATGTAAACAAAATTGCAGAGTGAACTTTAAAGGCCTCTGGGGCAGAGCCCCAAGGAAATTTACATAGTTTCTCTTTTGAGGGCTCACCTACAGACCAATACCTTTCTTTAGACACCCCTACCAAGTTTCTACGCCCAGCCGTTCTCTCAAGTTAGCTGTGACAAAAACCTCGTTTTCCTCCATAAGAATAACATGGGATGGGAATTTAAAGGCCACTGGGGCAGAGCCCCGAGGGAATTCTCCATGTTTCTCTTTTGATGGCTCATCTACCGACCAGGACCTTTCTTTAGACACCTCTACCTAGTTTCTACGCACAGCCGTTCTCTCAAAATAGCTGTCACAAAGAAAAATAGTTTCAAATTAATATATAGATTACTAGCTGACCCGGCGAACTTCGTATCGCCTAAGTTATAGGTTTCCCCTAAGACAGACCGATGGAAAGAAAGTACCGTTACGTTTAATTTCCAAGATGATCTCGTTCGCATCGCTCAATCACGTCCTGGTTGAAGTTCGTTCGCTACGCTCACTCACCTTTGGGTTGGAGCTCGTTCGCTACGCTCACTCACCTTTAGGTTGGAGCTCGTTCGCTGCGCTCACTTGCCTTCAGGTTAGCTCGTTCGCTACTTCGCATCGCTCAATCACGTCCTGGTTGAAGTTCGTTCGCTACGCTCACTCACCTTTGGGTTGGAGCTCGTTCACTACGCTCACTCACCTTTAGGTTGGAGCTCGTTCGCTGCGCTCACTTGCCTTCAGGTTAGCTCGTTCGCTACTTCGCATCGCTCAATCACGTCCTGGTTAAAGTTCGTTCGCTACGCTCACTCACCTTTGGGTTGGAGCTCGTTCGCTACGCTCACTCACCTTTAGGTTGGAGCTCGTTCGCTGCGCTCACTTGCCTTCAGGTTAGCTCGTTCGCTACGCTAACTCGCCTCCAGGTTGAAGTTCGTTCGCTACGCTCACTCACCTTTTGGTTGCAAATTAGCTGTTGTCATAAATGTAAAAGAAATAATAGTGCTGCACCCTGTTGGTAATCCTTGTAACTTTAATGCTATTGAACATCATAGAACAGAACCAACTTGTTTAATTGAAACAGCTGTTAAGATTCATTAATTCCATTTCTCATAAGGTTAACATGGGAAACTCCAGAGCCACTGGGGCGGAGCCCTTTTAAGAATTTCGAAACGGGAAATAGTTTACGTCCGATTCGCATACCTACAGAATTTACACACCAAATTTCATAACGATCGGTGAAGTCGTTCCGGAGGAGTTTGCAGACAAACACTGTGACACGAGAATTTTATATATTAGATTATTACGATACTATGTTTTATAGGGCATTTGTTACAAATATAACCACAAGTTACAAAAAGAGAATGAAAATGCCATATTTCTCAGTAGTAAATCTGTGGAAGAGAAAATACTTGTTGCGACTTGTTTTATTGCAGCCTGCGAAGGACGTTTATGTGTCTATTTGTCTTTATCTGCCATTTCATATTACTTTATCTGACACACTTTCACACATTTTCCCCAACGCTTTTGGTAACTATGCCGTTCTATTGTCAAATAGGCGGGTTGTAAAAAACCTTAAAATATGCTATTACCATCCTTCCCTTCCTTGTGTTTAATTATAAAAGAATAGGCCTAGCCATTACAAATAACGTACGCAGTGGTGGTTGAACGTTTTGATATCAGACGACAAAACTGTACCTTATCTTAAGGTGTTTTAACAATGTTTATTACTTATAACAAATTAATATTTGGTTTTAGCCTAGTAAACATAGCAAGAGTTTGTAAAAAGCTCACTAAAATATACGTCAATATTGGTCTCACAGAAATATACAATGACATATTATGCCAACCTTTACATTCCGTGATTTTAAACGCTCTGGCATTTTATACTTTTTCCAAGAGCACAGATAAACCATGGCCCTGTTACTAGTACCATGATATAATGTAATTTATCATAATTAATATTTATTGATAGCCAAGTTAAATGTGGATTCAGAATCGACCCCACATAGGGACAAACTAGCAACCTTCCGTTGACATATTTGTGGAAGCAGCTTAAAGAGTAAAGACACATTCAATGGCACTAAGCTATTGGAATCTACTGACGGGATGGAATGAGTTTTAGTCACAAAACACTGTATCTATTAAAATATTTATATTGCATTGTAGTGATCAACATATTCTTTCTTAATAAAGAACAAATGTCGAGGAAGAGTTTCACTAACAACCTTGTAGCCTTTCTGTTGCAATAGAGTAGTGACGCCCATGAATCCGTCCCTAGCCTTGGTGTGGTCCACGTGCAATATTTTGACGTCGACCTTGTCGAACGGGATGGTCTCTAGGATTTCTACCTCGCCACCTCCCACGTCTATGGCTAGCAAGTCCACCACCGGTCTGTTGAGAGCCAGCCAGAAGGTGTAGAATGGGTAGCACATGATGGTTGCTGGAGAGTAATTTCTTCGGTTCACGCCCACTCGTATGTAGGGTTGGCGGTGGAATTCGTAAGCGGACCTGTTCAAACTCATACACGCAGGGGCGATCCACGCATTTCTCCTGAACGTCTGCAAGTTGATAACATCAGGCTCTACCAAGAGTCCTGTCCAGCCCATGTGTCGCTCGAGGAAGAGAGTGTCAGAGAACAATTGCTTATCCCCGGAGCCGACTTCGATGAAATAACCCCCTTGCTTGTAGTCGGTCAGTACTCTGAGCTCCTCCACAAACTTGCTGGGGTACGGCAATTCGTGAGTGTTCACGTGACCTTTCTTGGCTGGAGGGATTAAAAGGGAAGACAACTCTCTGACGAGCTGCACGTCCTCTTGGTTGTGATTCGGCGACCTCCTCTCTCTAGGTGATCTTCCATCTTGAACGAATTCAACTTGCCATGAAGACATCAGCAAGACTTCAATAACCACTATCACTGATAATGTCAAAGCTACGATGATAAGTGTGTTCGAAGCTTTTGACCGATAGGTTCGTTCGATGAAGTTAGCACAAAGGGTTTTGATGAATTCAACCATCTTGGATTTTAGAATCATTTCAAAGTGATCTTATAGTTCGTATTTGAGTTTGTTAGTTTGTTGACTTTTACAAATGGATAAAAAGGTTATTGGGCTTCAATGTTAGTTTAGTTAGTATACATACAGCTGATTCGTTAATTATTAATTGACAATAGTATCGATCGTTGATTAAACTTTCGAATTCTATGTTCAGTTAACTACGGACTAAATACTTTCGATCATTGACTTTAGATGCATGTCTTATGTATGATTACAGTACATCACAATAATAAGGTAGCTTCGAGTTTTAATCCTTTTAAAAGTCTTTTAATTTTATTCTTCTTAAAGTTTGAATATTTTCTATCACATTTTCTGGTGTCTGTTGTACTATTTAATACCCCCAACGCAGCAACCCTGCAGACTAAATGAATTTCCATTTACCTGGCTGGAATTATACTAAATTATTCCCTTAAAATTGTCAGATTTTTTTCCTATTTAGCTATCATTAATCTATCTATATATTAATAGGCAAGCATGTTTCTTTAAAACCTTTTTTCTCAGCTTGTGTGCATCGTGGGGTAAATCTGCACATACCGTTAGAAAGCAATTTTCCTGTAGGTGTGCAGAATCCCTTTATAAATTTAAATAGGCTCAAAGATAAGCACAAAAAATTAGTTTAAAAATTTGAAAAAATTAACATGGATCTTATGCGTTGCCATGCTGGTGACGAAATAACAACGAAATATAAACAGAAAATCAAAACAAATGGAAGAAACTCCAATCACATGTTTTATTTACAGTGTGGGGTGAAAATAGAGAAGTGAGTACATTACATATTTTTGGTCGAGTTTCGACCACTGGACGACCTCTCGTTCATTTTAATGAGCACTTAGATTCTCTGCTACAGGGAAGATTATAATAAGGTGTTTGTTGTATTATTAAAATATTGATTGTGCTCTTTGTTTTGATGGTTTTGTTAGTATGAAGTAAACGAATTTGCCAAATTATATTACAATACGTCTATAGACAAGCAAGCTACAACAGTTTATTATTCTCCATAAGAATAACATGAGAATTTTAAATTTCCTTTTTTGATCTTTTCTGTAACCGTTAGGTATACTTCAATATACTATATTGTTTGTTTTTCTGAGTTCTACAAAATGGTTTGGAAATAAATTGCAAAATGTTATGTTATAAGGGTAAAAAATTGAATAAAACCAATGTTTACCCCATAAAACACCCCATAAACCCCCGTTCCCATAGTCCAATCATGCTGGTTCGCGAACTCGTTCGAATAGATGTGCGTTTACACGTTTATACCAAATTTCATCGAGTTATCGTGCTAACGGACACACCCATATATATTTATGTATATATATATATATACATATATAATATATATACATGAATTTGGACGAATGGTGTTTTTGGTCTCTGGGGACCTCAAAAATAAAAAGTGAATCCGTCCCGATTTTTGGTCTTACCATGAGGCCTACTTTTAGCTTATTCCCTATATGGGAAATTTGCTAAAATGGCTCGTATAACAAACAGTAAAGATATGATTTCATTTGGAAAAAAAAGTTAATGGTTTGATTTGTGACAAATAAAAATTACGCTTGACCATAAATAACGTAACGGGGTTTCTTATAACGTAACTATTTTGTGTGATAGAGGTTTTTACTTTGAGGATCTTAAAGGGAGCTCACCTCAAGGGAGTTACAAGCAGACATCCTTGTTTAAATATATTCAATTGAGATTGCGGACAAAGTAACTTTACATGTCTACATTCCTGTTAGAATTGCGTGAAATTAGTTCTCAGTCTCGGTAAGTCTAATTTGTTGTTCTTTAAAAGTTTCTCGGATTTCACGAGAAGAATACCCTGCTTTAGCCAGGATGAGGACAATTTATTTCGTCTGCAGTCTTTCAAGTAAGTCCTTTAAATAGTGAGGTATTAGATTTGCTTCATCCGTATTTGTATTTGAGTGTATTTCGTAATATAAGTTGCTATTTGTGCAAATACTACGAACACTCAAAAATGACTTAAATGTATAGTATATATATCACTTAAATTTACAGTTAAGTGTAAAGTCATATGAAGTGTGTAAATTAAGTATGGAAACAAATCCGTATTTTAAAAACTGAAATAGATAGAAATATTTTGTTTTTGGAATTGATTGATGACAAAGGTTCCGCAATTTTTAACATCAAACATATTTTTTAACCTCCCTAACAAGGTAGGGGGTGACTTTTTTTCAAATAGCAACCCCTATTGAGTGACCCTTCATTTTGAAGGGTTTGTCAGAAGAAACACAATGACGCAAAACTGAGGTAGATATCTCACCCCTGGCCAACCATTTGGAGGTTTGTGACCACCACTTTGTTTAGGATCCAGAGGTTTCAATTTATCTTAAATCATTATTTTTAGTGTCACAAGGTATATAAAATGAAGGGTCGCTTAATTCGGTCTCCTATGGCATTTCAAATTTTGAATTGGTGAAGTGAGTGCTTTTTCACATTTATAAATCAAATTTTTGAATGCTCGCCATTTTGGCTAGGAGTGGCATGCCACCTCAGGATGGCATCATATGTGTTTCTTTTGACAAACCCTTTCAAATGAGGGGTCATTTAATAAGGGTTTTCGTTTGAAAAAATATGTCACCCGCTACCTCCCACCATGTTAGGTGGGCTAAGGGGTGGGTCCAGACTCTGGACTCAAACTCCGCCAGGCTAGCGTCGTCTGTTCTTAACTGATTAGTTACCATAAATGTCTTGTATTCATGTTTGTTTCGTGTTTAAATGTCCATTAATTATTTTCGTGTTAACCAATATGACGCTCTTCGTATGAAGAAAGAAAACTGCCCTTGTTGATGATGGTGCCACACAGCTGCCGAAACTAGTTGTGTTTATACCAACATTGGATTGCCTAATAGCAGCTATTTGAACATTTTTTAATATTATTTGGCAATCCGGAGGCTAACATTTACAATAAAGTTTAGAGTAAACTTTCACATAATTATGTATACTGTACTTTAAAACTATTGACAACATGATGTAATTGTATCCTAAGAAAATAATTACTTTTACTCAAAATCGGAAAAGAAAATAATTAATTTTCCGATTTTGATAATATATTGAACAATTATGGCATATTAGCTCAGTGGTGTAGATATTACAAAAGTCGATACAGTTGTTCAGACAAGCTCCATTTGCATTGCACCCAAATACTACAGAAACCAGGTACTGCACGGGTGTACAATTCAGCCTTATTGTTAAACATTACATTTTATCCACGCAATACCCGGATTAGACTATACTAGCACTACTCCGGTGGCTAGTGTAAGTGTAAGGACCTCGGTCCCAAGTGATATTACACAGCGGTTGTGATGGGTTTCAAGTGTTTTGCCAATACTCTAACCTCTGCCACCACCATCTCAACCACTAATGGCCTTCCTTATTACTCTTCTTTCGCAAAATATCCACTCTCAGACGTATAAAGATAACGTAATGTTTTTTATGCTGTATCGTTCAACACCTCAGCTTCTTTATCAGGATTAATACCATAAGATTAAACGTAGTCCTAATAGATTATCATTTTTATGGACCAGGTAGAGGCAATTTTAGCTTAGTTCTGTATGGTTTTGCTTAGTGACAGTAGTTTCTAATTTGTTATCAGTTATTTAACCAATTTGAAACAAGCAAAACTACGTTTTCATAAGCCATTATCTTCTGGTTATCATGTCAAAGAACAAATTACACCCTATCAAATAAAACAAAAACACACTGAAACTTTTGGAAAACATTCAAATTGCAGTGCAGATAAACTTCTCAATGTGAATTTAATGCCAGTTTGGTTATGCATTTCATATTAGTGACGTTTGAAAGCACTATGGTGTTGACCTAATAATTGAGATTTGTTTTAGAGTACATTGGATTGTACTTTAGATTATTAGGGTATTGTACGAGTTGTGCTTTACTCCTCGTTTCTATTTCCACAGAACCAGTAATAGCGTACAAATATCAACATCATTTTTTAATGGGGACGCCACCTAGGTGTGTATTTTAACCCAAATATGAGTGAAGGATGAGTGTACAGTAGAACGTAGTGTGTCATCTTTTGTTGCTTTGTTACTATTTTAGACTAAAAGATCAGCTATTTCATTAGTCAGGACCATTTATTTAAATCCCAATGATCAAGGACAGCTGGGTCCAGTTCCGACCTATCAAGAAGCTACACACTTTTCCCAGGATCGAACCGGCGGTCTTTTAACAAATCAGCTACCCAGCTATAGCTAACTGGTGTACCCTTGCTTTCCAACGGGATGATGTAGGCCTAATATTCCGCCTAATCCAAACACTTGTTATGTAGATTGAATTTATAAACAAAAAGCCACAATTTTTTTACAAAAAGTATGATTTACATTGAATACCCTACTGTTTACCTTAAAATATACTAATAACATAATTTTAATAACTTACGGTTGTAGAATCCCTCTTTAATTCTATAATCAATGACATCAATAAACATACCACATATTTGTGTAAAATATTTTATTTAATTTGATTGGATCAGCTGCCTGAAATTGTGAAATAAAATAAGCATTTAGCAGTTCTCACTGTTTACATTGAAATGTAAACGGAGAGGTAAACATGGTGAAGTTTCTCATGCTTCCATGGATACCAACTATTAATATTTACTCTTGAAAATCTCACCTCAAATCTTTGGACATCCAAGGAGCGTAGCCCGGGAGGAACTCAGAGAAGTGAATAGTCCTATGACATTCCTAGATATGTGGACAATCTTTGTGCTTAATTTTGGCTGTATTGGTTTAGTATTTTAGTCGTGGCAGCCGTACAGACAGACACCACCTCAATTTTATAATAGTATAGATAGATATATAGATGTAAAAAATAATAGTGATCATTTCATTTTATGTTTAGGATGTAATGATTTTAAATTAGGGTTAAAACAAGAAACGGATAGTTAATTCTCGGTTTAACCAAGCCACAGAAAATGAACTGATAAATTCGAGGTGTTATGTCGATGTAAAAATGAAATTGGTTGGAACGTTAATCGTCAGGGCGATGTTGGGGCAAGAGGGACAAGGGTTAATGGTTTCGGGCCCAACATTATTAATGACTGGCCAGTTCTTGTGGTCCTTTGTCCACTTAACCACCTCAACTTAGGATACTGCCCTAATGGAAATATTCTGTACACATACGATAGAGCTGTTGTTCTACAATATACAACCGTACTGCTCATACCAACCATTGAAGGTTGGAGACTCTATTCAAGTGTATAGCAATACAAATATTAACAGTGAACATAAGTATTTTACAAAATTACGTTTTTATAGATTGTTATGGATTCTGCATTTTAAAATTTGTTTGATGAAAATGCTAAAACGAATATTAGAAGTTGTAACACTAGTGTTATTCTGAGGAAATTATAACAATAGTCTTCAAAGGAAATTTTTATTATTCACATTGAAAGAATTATAATGTCCACCCAACAGTCAAAAAATTGTTAATCTAGTAAAATAAACGTTACCACCCTCCACACTAAAAAAATAATAAAAAAATAATAATTTGGAAAAGGTAGTACAATTGATTACATAATGTGTATTTATAAGTGTTCAAATTACAGGCTTGGACAGGTTTCAAAAGAATGGATTTGCATCGCAATATTGTATGCAAATTAATATTAATTTTCTGTCAATGATGTCCAGTTATGTGATGGACAATAATTGTGAACTGAGCTGATTGTTTATTGTAGCCTATAATTGTTTTCCTATCAACACGATGACAAGTTGTATAATTGAAATTGGCGATAAGTTCATTATTTCAGCACAGTAAACATTTTTGTACAATAATTTAAGACGACTGCCTTGTTTGTGTTGAACCATTTTTGAAAGATCTTAATTCCAATTAGATCTCTATAGAACAACTTATTATTAATTATTCAATCACATATTTTAATGAATTATAAATTATACGATATTGTGTGGATATTATAAGATATGTGGATATTGTTTTGATAAAAGAAATGTCAAAAGACAAAAAACGGCCAGCGTTCTTTTAGGATTATTAATTACATCTCAAAATCCAAATATCATCAGCTAAATATCAAATGTACTTGTGCAGTTTTCTCACTACTCGTGGAAATAGGTTATACAACCGGAGGAGTAGTAATGCATCTTTGGTTGTTGCCTTTCGGCACTTTATCACGCTCAATATCATCTTACATCACCTAACCGGTGATATTGATGGCGATATCACATATCACTGACACATATGCCGCGTCATCGAAGCTTCCAATAACATGCGGCTCAACAACCTCGAAATCAGAGAGCGTATTTGAGTTAGTATTTAAGTATAGTATTTTCAGTATCCAATAGTCAATGATAGGTTGGTATCCTGAAAATTGTAAATAGTAAGAGATGAGTATCGTATAGTGTACAAAGTTACTGAAATGTTATTGGTGTACGTCCAGGCTAGAGCGTGCGTTGCAAATTCATCTCACCGGTATTTCACAATCAGTTTACTACTCCCTGAAATATCTATCTCCATTTATAAACCTTATATAATCAACTATGTCTATAATCCAAAATAATTCCGAAATATGCAATACATCTTTGTATCCATTAAACACTCTGAATATAAAATATAACTCAAAATGTATTGTTTTTAATAAAATGTACACAATAGATAAATACAACTCTTCCAGTAGGAAATAATTAAATTTTGATTTATAGTTAGGCTTTAGCCAGCTAACTATAAACGTCTTGTATCGAGTTCGTCACATAGTGCCAAGATAGTCATTAGTGATAGTAATCGTGTTGTTGGACCTTTACTAGGCTAAGATGAAAGTAGATTTTAAATTCAAAGCACTGGTTATTCTGTGATCCATTGTTTACCCTTCAAGTACATAAAACATAGTTCATGTTGTATGATTTGAGTTGTGAATTGTGCTTTGACACAATTACTAAGGTAATAAAAACAATGTCGGTCAATTCGAGCCGGGAAGGATAAAAAATCTCTAACCAATAAATCTCTCCGACTCCTCAGTTAAAAAGTTCTTTACAAACCCACAAGCAATCACTAATTTATTTTTCAGTTCGATACTGCATCCACACTTTTCTAGTACGCTGAGCTTTAAAGTTTTCATAAAGTCTACTCTCTCTATGACTGTTACAGTTTTAGTTTGACTGCAGATGATTACCTTAGTGTGGTCGCTTGCAAAGTTTACTTGAATGCTTCCATTTGTCATGAACATCGCAGTCTCGTTTGGTCCCCTGGTCCAGTAGAAAACTTCACTATTCCAGTTTACATCGTTGGAATTACAGTCCTTTTCAGCATGGTGGGCGACACGAAGAGACTCACTCATGTAATTTTTACAATTTGTTAAAATTTTAAGTTTCTTCTTAAGGGATTCCGGCACGGCAGATTCTTTACAGACAAAAGAAGCCCCCGCTTTCTGCAGATATTGAACACACCTTTCTTCAGCTTTGTACAGCATTCGTGTTCCATCGTTAAAAATAATGCCAAAGTTGTGATTGTTTAGTTGATAAGCGAAACCGTACACGTTTGTAAAGTCCATCCAAGAGTTGACCCAAATTAGAGGGATTTTCAAAGATGACTCTGATAAAAACTCACCAAACTTTGACACAGACCAGTTTTCTACGTCACCTAAACATTTTAACAACTTATCAAAATTGCTGATGACAAAGTCTTTCAGAACTGGCTTCTGAGGCTCCCAAAGGTCCGTAACCTTTCGTTTGTTTGATTTCATCGATGTAATTTTATCTCCTTCGAAGTCGATTTCTGGGGCTTGAGCTCGAATGGAATCTGATGATACAAAATCCAACTTCTTCAAATGAAATACATCGGGCCTTCGCGTGGCATCTTTTTGGAGACAACAGTTTATGAAGAGTTTCGCAGAGAGAGGCGTAGTGGAAGAGCAGTTCCACTTGCACCTGAGTATGTTGTTGTATGTAGAGGTCGTATCTTTACCCTGGAACGGGGGAGTTCCTTCCATCATCGTATACAGGATACACCCGAGCGCCCAGACATCAACCTCGTAACTGTGGCCGGTACCGTTGATAACTTCAGGTGAAATATAATTAGGAGTTCCACACCGAGAAAACCGCTTTTGTCCTTGATATTCTATGACCACTGCGAGCCCAAAGTCACCTAATTTTATTTCTAAAGCACTATTGACGAACAGATTCCCTAGTTTGAGATCTCTATGGCATATGTGATGGTGGTGTAAGTACTCTACTGCAGAAAGTATCTGAATCATGAAGAACTTGGCTTCATTGGCACTCAACGTTTTCAGAGCGTGGAGAATGTTGACCATTGAATATCTAGAACAATACTCCAAAACTATTATGATATGGCTTTCACGTTCCATGTGAGAATAAAACTGAACTATGTTCTTGTGTCGCAGTCCTTGGTGGATTCGTATTTCGTCCCACACTTTGTGTCCTATGCCGTACCTCTGCAGCTTTTCTCTGCTTACGAATTTTCCGGCGAAATTTCTTTTGGTACTGACACACTCCAGTTTGTAAACTTGACTGAAACTCCCTTTGTCGATGTATTCTCCGACAGCGAAAGAGTTGCCATTCCCGTCAGATATAATTTTGGCCATGGATTATTGGAAAGTTGTCCAAACACTCAACTATCTACAATAGTTATTGCAAGTCTTTGTTTGTTTTCGTGTTTAAATTTTGTTAGAAAACATTGATTGTTTACAGGTTAAATCAGGTGGTTGTAATGTACTCATTTTTGTTTTGTTTTAATAGCTGGGCAGGTGCTGAGAGAAATTACAAGATTTTTAGTATCAACAGTGTTTGCAAAGTTCTCTTCCAAAAGGGTATTGAGTTTAATTCGAACCCTTTAGTTTCCTACTATCTAGATTCAATTGAGGAATTCTGATGTGATATTTATTTTAAATAGTTAAAAATGTAATACCGTGCTATGAACGCAGATTGAAAAAAATATACACGACAACTTGGCCTACTTGATTTAAGTTATAATGTAGAAAACATTACATATATTTCCATTCTAAATTGAATAATGAAGAAAACTATTAAGAATTTTAATCTTGCAAGGAAAAACCTAAACTTTTTCAATGGTCGAGTCGAGCTGTTTCATGACTTGAACTTTCTCATAATGAAGAGAAAGTACACGTTTGGCGTAAATATAAGAAAAATCAAACGTGATATTTATAGTGCTAATTCAGAAACAGAAAAATATACATAGTACAGAATACTGTATAAAATAATTTAAACTAGATGTGCATTTCGGCTTTTCAACAATACCGTACCACAAAAACTAAGGTTATAAATACTATAGTTAGGAAATTTCCAAAACGTTTTGCATATTTATGTAGAGAATCGTTTAAGATTGATTAGAAACCTAATATCTTAAAAAATGCAACAAAACTAATTGGTAGTTTACTTGTAAATGTCAATTGACGGAATTCTGTCTCATTGTTAAAAGCAACACTCAATATCTTTCACTAATGGAGTGAACACGGAAAATGCGTGTTTTAGGATGAGTTATGATGGAGCGTTGGCAGTAAAAGCCCCCACATAAACCGTGACTTAGTATAGATATTCTGCGGCTGGATCACGTTCAACAATGATACAGCAGTCACGATATAACATTTTCTCTTATCACCCTAATTCTGGTGTTTGCCCAAATTACTTTAGTTTTAATATTTATACTCATCTAAAATAGGTACACGGTTGTTAAAAAATAATGGTGCAAAACTAAACGGTTGGTACGTCCGTTTACGTGATTTCAAACAGCTCATAGTTACACCAATGTGGTGTGTTTATAAGTTTGTTTTGACAAGGTTATGTTTTGTCTCAGTTACTTAGTTGAGTACTAAGAAGCCTGCCAACAAATGGCTACTACAAAACAAGAAAAGTCATTTTGTGTGCTCGTACTAATGTTATTGTTGTGATTCAGTGGAACAACATTTAGGAAGAAGGCTCCACACAGGAACTGCAAAGATTATGGTGAGATTAGATGAGTGAGGTAATTCAAGACAACTGGATGTTTGTGTTTCGGCAAGAGTTCGTGCCGTCAGACGCCATAGAATAAGTAAGTAAAAAGTAATCGCATTATAAGCAAAATCGGCCAAAATCTTTGTTTGTTGTTAATGTCACCGGTGGGATTTAATCTGGTTACCTCATGGACATCAGCCCAGTACTCTATTCACTACACAACGAACACCGATGGCTGCCCTTCGCATCATTGCAGTAATGGTGTTCCCTAAAGAGAAGAGAGTGACGTCACGCCCCCACTCCTCAAAAGAGGTTCTCATCAGGTTTTGACCAGGACCCCGAGACGCTAGTATTGTGAATATCCTCATGGTTACCACGGAAACCAATCAATGTTTACTTTTAACAACCTCACCTCGTATAATCTTTGAAGTTAATAATGGTATGTTCAAATTCACCTTTTGTCCCTAGGTAAATATCAAAGTGGAAATAGTCTTTAGGAGTGCATTCTAGAAGGAATCTACTACTACAACCATTAATGGGTGGCAGTTGATGGTTATGGAGAAAACGCTGGACATCCCCACACATACTTTATAGGCCTAGATAGATTGGAACCTATTTGAGGTAGATGAATGACTAATTATGGTATCAACAAATGTAGATTCTTTTATAAACTACGTAGTACTTTTTTACTCGGTTGCACCTTATTATCCGTCCTACATTCATTCGAATGAATATATCGATCGATATAAAGATTATTTCATTCGATATATCAAGTATGGTTAGTTAGGTTAACCTAACCTAAATTACCAAATGGAATAATCAATATATCGAATAATCTATACATCGATATTTTTCATTCGAATGAGTGTAAGACAGATACTTAAGTCCAGCATTCACCTAAGTTGTGTAACAAACATTATATTTGAAAAGTAAATAGGAATTCCATTATTAATTTTGTCTTGGAAGCAGCTTTTGAACTCTAACGAGACCAGGGGTTGAACCGTTACCTTTCAAAATTTTAAAAATCCCAAAGGCGTGGATGGACTCAATATCACTATTAAATCTGAGTGATAATATTGGGCCTACCTCAATATTATTATTTTTAACATTATCAATTGAGACTGGGACGCCTTTAAAAGTACTGTAATTTTCAACTTGCAATTTTAATATTATTTCCTCTCAATTCCCTTCAAATTTTTATTTGGAAATGAACTTTTTCTTCGAAATTATGGAAAATCCAATTTTCCTCATGCATAGTTTCTGAAATTGGTGCGAAATTGGGTAATTATTTAGTATAGGTGCCTCCAATTTTTTACATTTTGATATCTTACTTTATAGTTTTTAAACTCCTGAATCCAAATTTACCATTACAGTATTTTTAACCACTGATGAATATTACTCAAGATATTGCCGTAAAATATACGCCATTAGAGTAATAAACTAGGTGTATAGTACAGGTACATTTACAAGTGGAATGAACTGTGGGTGAAGTAGCCAACAGCTAGTAGGCCTAAATACTGTATCAAAGCAATATAAAACACGTTAGTATCAATGAACGACGATACTGCTTACGCCTTCTTTAGAAATACAATATGGCTATTTTTTTTTAAATAACTACAACTCTCTTGTGAAAATTAAATACTTATTAAAGTGCGTTTTCATACTACCCATAGCTTAGAAAAAAATTTAAATAGATGCAAATGATTACAATAACATAATAGGCTACCATTTGCATGCACGTCTCCATCCACAAGTTCGACCTCATACTGAAATATTAATCCCTTGTAGATCCTATTTCAACAATTGGGTACACGTAGATTTGTTCAATCAATGGCGCTAATATGACAAAGTAATTCTATCCGACTGTTCGTCTGAGTTCTTCAGGTCCAATATTGACTTTGAATCTTGAAATCTGTTGTTTATTCGATTCAGTAGTTTAATTTGAAATACAATCCTAAGAACAAACTAACCAAACAGAATGTTAACTTCAAAATTACATTGGTAAAAAACTTAATACCGTGCATGTTTGTCAGTAAGCAAGTTTATGCACCTTGGTAGGGCAACACTAAATAAACACTGTACAGTTTTAATTATTGGTAGGAAAATATAAATTCACTGTATGGCAGTAATCGTGTATACATATTATGTTTTTTATTTAAAAAGGAAATTACAAAAAAATAATCCTGCTATAAAGTCATTTTCCTTATATTTTATATGTTTAATATACATAGTTTTGTCCGAAACGTCCTAAACATTAAAATGTGTTTGCTATTGCCTAAAGTAAACTACTTTCCGGAAAAAATTAAGAGGTTTAGCTATAAATAAAGTAGCAGTTCCAAAAATGTTTTAATTTAAACTTATTAAAAGCTACAATTGTCGTTTAAAATAATACTGTATTTATTAATTCAAATTACATTACAGTGAATCCTGATAACAAGCCACTCTCGATATAAGGTGTCATCTTCAAATGCCCTTGATTTTATACTCATAATCACAATATGTTATTGTAATTTTTTATTTTATTAAGTCAACCTTGATAACAGTCTTATTTAATTCAAACAAAGGTTTTCGAAGCCAGCGTCAATCAATGTTTATTTAAAACACATCAAAAAACTGCGTCAGCAGATGGAATTAAAATTCAGGATAAAATGTTTTTTCCTACAGTCACCCGACAAAGTTGGCTTCCTTGTACTGTTTATAGTACAGAAAGCTGCTAATTGCTGCATATTTATACTTTGCCGTACGGTTTATACTTTGCCGTACGGTTTATACTTTGCCGCACATCAGGATTCCAACGAAACAACACAAAACAGCGTGGTTCCATTATGCACGTAATCCGTGTACGCTTGGAAATAGGTTGGCAACACTTGAAGATAATTATACTATGAGCAGCTGATTGACTATTATAACTACGATTTAACCTGTCATTTCGTGTTTATAGTTTCGGTATTTCTGAACTTTCTGGACTTTTCTTTTAAACGTTTTTAAAACCTTCCTACGATCTTAATAAACAAGAAAATACCTTTTAAGCATTTTTTTTTAGGCGCGGAAACCACTTCAAATTACAAAAACATACGGAACTATATTCTCAAAACGCGGAGCACATTTCTTGCCGAGGAAAAATAGCGGAGTGATATGAACCGCGGGTACTACTTTCTCTAGGGCACCATTTCCATTTGTGTTGCCAGCTGAACCTAAAAACGTGTTGCATAGTGTTTCAAAGACTAATTATGACTGTAGGAACAATATAATGTGTAACACGAGTGAAAAAGGCCTTTGCTGCACTCGAGATCATTCCACACTCGCCTGCGGCTCGTGCGTAAACATTCCTCTCGTGTGCAGCAAAGTGCCACTTTCACCACTAGTTACACAAATAACTATACACTTATAAATCTAACTGAAAAGCGTTTAGGATTGAGATACATTTCCACCGCAGAGTAATTTACACACACTTTCATTATTTTAATGCAGAAAAGCTATATGGATTGTACTCTTAAGACAAATAAGCGGGTTGATGCAGGATTGATAGTTTAAATAAACTGCAATAAGAAGAGTGCTTTCTCTACTAAAAAGAATGATTGGTTTTAAAATATTGAGATACATTGTGTAAGTAATTCCCAGGTTTCCTGCTTTACTAGGAATTGA